AATTCTACAGTGTTTTCTTCATTCAGGGTAGTCTGCTGATAAGATGCAAGCATCTGGCAGAGGAAAAGATTCTCAGCAGGTTTAAGTGCTTACCAAAGTGCTTTCATGTATCCAGGGCTCAGCTTCTAGTCTCTGCTGTGTTATTTTGGCACTCTACACTTGGAAGATTGGAGAGTCGAGTTTAAAACTCTCAATATATCATTAAGGTAGCCCAAGGTCCCATCCTGTCAAGGAAGACTAGCTGATTCCAGGGGGAAGGAAAAGCAGAATCCAGGGCACCTGTAAATCCCTGTAGTTTTGTGCTGTGGATTTGTAGCTAATTATACAGGAGGCAACAGTAATGTGTTGGAGCTCTGTTGGTGAACTTGTTTCAGAAAGAACAAAATCTTCCAGCAGAGCAAAGGGCCTTTGGAGGGGCTGTGAATGAGTGAAGCCATGATCATTTCATTGTAAACTGAAGCTCTGCAGTGAAATCGGGGCATCTGAACAGCAAGGAGGTGGGGGGGGGGGGGGTGGGAAGATACCAGTAGAAATACATGCTTCAGATTGTTTTACAGCTCATGATTTGGATTCTCCTGCAGAAATATAATCACTCAAGGAGACCACCACTGGTCACAGCCAGTCAAATTGCTCTTTCTCCTATGGTACTGCTGTTACTGACTACTAGTAGGTTACATAGCTGACCTCTCCTGATTCTGCTTTGCTTCCTGATTTCAAAAGATTCACCCTCAGTCACAGACTGACTCTCAGTCACAGCTTGCTGCAACTGTGGCTTGTTTGCATGTATCCTTATGATTTTCATATAGTCTTTTTCTTCCTCAAGTTAGAGGGAGAAGAAGGTAAAAGAATTGAGATCATTTTATATATGATAAAAGATACTGTCCAAGCCAGCTAGGGAAATAAAATTCAGCAGGAAGGACTCACAGGACTTGTGACTGCCAGAGAAGTCAGTGTACCTTAAATAAAGAGGGTTCAGCTAGCAGGCAGCAACTCTGACTTTGCATTCATATTGCAGCAGACTCTCCAGCCATTCTAGCCAGGCAGATCAATAAAATCAGAGGTGACTTAATGCCAAGAATCTCAGAATTCATAGGATTTCTCTTGTCCTCCTTTAAATTTATTCTATATTGATGTGGAATGCTAGCCTCAGGAACTGAGATGATAAAATGCCAAAATTAGAGTCTGGTTTAATGTAGCATATTGAACTATGGTCTTCGAAAGTATCCCCTTTGGTTTTTCTCTTTTCAAATCTGTAAAATGGAGCTAATCTACCGGAAGGGAAATGATTCCTTCAAATGATACTTATCAAAACTTTGTGAATGGAGATTTAGTAGGATAAGTGCTTTGAATAGCCTAAATAGTGTCTTATGAGAAGTGAATTTATGTCCTCTTTCTGTATTTGAAGATGCAGTTGATTGCCTTCTCAAAGATTGCCCAGCTTGACTACCCACTCCCCCCCTCCCCCACACACACCACCTCCCCCATGAGGGAAAGAAAAGATTTTGTCTTATTTTTAACTAAATCATGGAATGTTTGGTCATATATATTTTCTTCCTTGCTTGTTTGTTTTTGTACAAACCATGAACATAGTTTTCTATTGTGTGCAATATGCCATACTGATTATATTCTTAAATTGATCTAATGGTTCCTGAATAGAATAAGAAAACTTATAAACGATGATTATGGACATGGCTAAGTATTTACCTGGTAATAGATTATCTTTCTTTTCCTGCTCACTGATCTGTCCTACAGCCTCACAGATTCTTATTCTACCAAAGAAGATAAACTGCCTCTAAACTTAGCTCTTTCATGATTGATTCCTTTAAAACACTGGAAATGTTGGGAGTTTTTTGTTCTTACCCCATACTGTGTAGATGGTACACAATTCCACTAACAAAGCAGCAGGGGGCTCCCTATGAGAGCTTGAGAATTACTGATGGAAAAGGATTGGCTTTCTGTTGGTGATGTTCATTTCAATTCAGGCCCTTTTCTACTGAAAACTTGGCCCTTATCCACTATGAAGACTCCCCAAAAGGCTTAGCATCTGACTTCAAAAGCAGTGAGACCATGTGATTAGTTTATGAAATTGTGTAAGAGTTGAGGGAGATTCTGCTGGTTTTCTAAATTCTAGAAATGTAGATGGATGAAACCTGAGATTGCTGTGGTCCTAGGGTTCGCTCTTAACTGGGGTTTGCAGTGTGAGACTGTGCAGGTGGATCATTTCTTTCACAGTTCCTTCTATCTTCGAAGGAGGAGTTTCTGATATTTTCAATAGCATCTGCAGTTTTTTTGTTTGCTTAGCTGCCCTCTCCCGCCCCTGCCCCCTCCAGGAAGTATGTATGCTTTTTGTTTGTTGATGAGGGCCAGGTGCATTATAACCAAGGATGTCTTGGAAAATGAAACCCATTCCCCTGAGTGAGAGGCTCAAAGAATCCAATAGCAAGGGTGCAGGATTTTGTGCTTAGGGGTTGCTTTTGCAGTTCAAAGAATTCACTCTGAGATACAGGTTTGATGCAAGGAGTATAGCTACTCACAAATCACATGAGGTATACAGTTTGTGTGCAGTGGTATGTCACAGCGTTTTATTTATATGGCCAGCTCAGTCTATTCTGCTCCTTTCACTGCCGTGGAAAGTGCATCATTTTCTTCCCTCTCTCCTCCTCCCCACATATCATCAGCACCACCCACTATGTTCTGCCTGTTAAGTCTTCTGTGTGCCAGAAAACAATGATTAATCGCAGATAAAAGAATGTTAGAAGGTTAAGATATCAGCCAATCAGCCCCCAACAGTACTTCTAGATTGTGGGTGATAAATAGAACTTTTCCCATTAAACAATGAAAATGCTTGGGGTGGGGGTATTGTTGTTGTTTGTTTGCTTGTTTTTAGTTGAAATGACTGACATCAATTTTCTCCCATCCCCTCCCATTGTTCTTGTTGCTGCAATGACCAAGGTTCAGAAACACTCTTGGTTGTGGTGCTTGCACACTTGGTAGTGGTGCTTATATACTTGGTTGTGGTGCTTGCTGGGAGGTCAAACTCTTGCATTTGTGATGCTTGCACACATACTCCCTGAGGGTTACACTGGCCACAGTGCATAGGCATTTTTCACTGCTCACACACTGTGGCTGCAGCCTGCCACAGCTGGACAGCTCCCTGCAGCCCAGGGGGCCCAGGCAGTGGTACTGCTGGCACTTATTTCCTGCTTCTGCACTAAAAATAATGAAAGAGTTGGTGGAGCCAGGGAGATGGCTCACGTGGTAGAGCACATGCCTAGCATATGCAGAGTCCTGAGTTCCAGCCCCAGCACTGCAGCATGACCCCATATCTTCCCCAGCACAACCAGGTGTGATCCTTGTGGCCTCCAAACACCACTGGTTCTAGCGCTGCCAGATTTACTGTTTGTAAAAAAGAAAAAGTGGCAGTTGTCCAAGGATACTGTAGACTTCCTGGCAAGTTTCCATTCTTACCTTGGTCAGTCTTTCATACTGTTGGCACATTCCAGGATGAGTCAAATGGATGTAAGGTTCATTTGTGAGAGGCCCAGGTTTTTTAAGCTTATTGCAACTGTACATATTTTAAAATTTGTTTCAGGAATTTAGGGTGTATATGTGTTTTTTATATTTATTTTGGGGCCACATATGGTGGGGATTGGGGCTACACCTCACTTGATGCTGGTATGGAGAGAGGGGCCTTATGCAGCAATGCTTGGAGGACCATATGGTTCTAGGGATGGAACCCATGACTTCTGCATGCAAAGTAGGTGCTCCAGCCCACTGGACCATCTCCTTAGCCCTAGAATCACCATGTGACCACACCATGCCCACCACCAAGTTGTCAGTATCCTGTCACCATCATCCACTGGGCCCTTCAGTCCATTCCCACCCCGACCCACCCTCAGTAACCTCAGTTCTGTGATCAGAGCTCAAGGTTAGTTTTCTTTGTCTTGTCTTTCCTTTTTTTTTTTTTCAAAGATCGTTTTTTTGTTTGACTTTATGCACTTTTGTTTCTTTGTATACCACCTATGAGTGAGATCATCAAGTATTTGTCTTTTTCGTTCTGAGTTGGCTTAACCTGACCACCATGTCCTTGTGAGGTGTGTAGCAACTTTTAAAAAGTCATTATCCTAACCTCATTTAATTTAAATAATTATTTTGAACAAAGTATACGTCTAATCATAGTTGTTATTACATTCCTGTTTAAATTTTAGTTCCTTTAGATTTCCAGAGTAGAATGTCTCTCCTCAAGTACCACTGTGAATTCCACAGCCCCCACTCCAGTCTATGGAAGAAAGAACATGGCCCATCCCCGCAACTTTGTTGAGAGATAGAACCAGAGAGATAGTGTTGCTTGCACATGGCCAACCCGGGTTTGATCCCCAGCACCCAATATGGTCTCCCAAGCCTCAGCAGGAGTGATCCTTGAGCATCACTGAGTATGACCCAAAAACAAACAAACAAAAAAACCCAGAAAAAGTCACTGGGAACCTAGATTGCTGAATTTTTTCCTTTGGAGAAGAAAAAAATATACCCTTATCCTTGAAAGGCAGTTGAGGTACAAAAACTTGTGGAAGCAGCTTCTCCGGATCCCCTTACTACATTTTAAGTAAGACAGGAACTGGAAAGAAGATTCTCTAAGCATTTTGTCACAAAATATTTCATGTTGAAGCTTAAGATAAATACCATATCATTGTTTTAATTGATTTTCACAAACCTATTATTATCACTAGTATAAGTTACTGTAATAGAGGTATAAGAAAATAATCTGTGGTGAATGCATTTGACTCTTTCCATCCACAGCTGCTGTGGTGAGGTAGGTCAGGAGGCAGACCTCTTTGGAGGCACTCTGGGGGTGGAAGGGTCCTAAGCACTTAATTATGTCTGTGAAATGCAGGAGCTGCCAAATTGGAGCTCCTCACTACTTGTCTGTGTCTGCTCTGACAGTTCCTTTATTATGACTTTCTCTAACCAATCAGTAACTAACTGTGGTTGTTTAATTACAGAGGGAACATCCCCACGCTAAACAGGTACCGTATGTTTAGTTTCTTTTCCAATTAAAAGCACCTTTCTGGGGGTAGTAACTTTGAGTAGTGAAATCAAGGGGATGGGAAATCCATGATACCTGACAAGCCAATAATTTCTTCTGCTGAGGAGTCCGGAGCTCCCCTTTCCACATGCTAAATTATCCTTTCATTTGGAAAACATGTCATCAGCTGTTCAAAAACAAAAGCAAAAAACAAAAAAACCCTCACCATCTGAGAAACTTCCATATGAAAAAGCTCCTTCCTAGATGCATGTGATAGGGGAGTTTTTCACATGATGTTCAGCTTGGCTGGAAATATCTTTTGCTAAGTTTTTTGTCTAGTTTGGGGCCTTAGAGGAGAAATCTTTAAGATCCCTCCTGTCCTGACAAGTTGTTTATAGTGGTTTTAGTTTCCTTAATTTGCTTCTCCTTACAAAGGGGTGCAAATGTAGAAATAGCTGATTTCATGTTTTGTCAGATTGTTTGCTATTTTTCTAAAGTGATAAAAGTGTTAAAGTGATACGAAAGTCAAGTTTTCTTTTGGGTCTATAATAAGATTGACATGGAAAATGTGTATTTAAATTTTGATGTGCATAGTCCTGTGAAGGGGATTCCTGGCCAATATCACACGAGTGGTACTTTAGTTGAAGTTCCTCCTGCTCTTGAGCCAAGCTTGGTAATTCAGGGCAAGTGTGAGAGGATAGCTGATATTCTGATTGAAATTGAATCCACAAAACACTAAGGCAGTAATAAGTTGGAGTGAGCTCTTCATAGATGATCAATTACATATTGAAATATTTATAGGCTTATGTTTATTTTGCCTCTCTTCCTTTAAATATTAAGTAATCAAAACCGATTAAAGGTTGTAGAGTCCCATTTGGAAGGGAGATGAAGGAGGAAGCTATTGTGTGGTCCTTTTGTCTGTCCTTGGAGAGTGGGCTTGGTTCATTTTTGCCTGTCTTTTAGCTATCCTGACCCATGTACCAAGGGCAGCTGAACAGCAGCTATTTCCCATGGGATTCAGATGAGTGGAAAAAATATTTAACCTCGTGTTTGCCACCAACAGAGCTTGTAAGCTTACTCAGAGGAATTCCCCATAAGAGTTATTTGGAACCAAGATACAATACCTCATGAACTTGCTCCTTTAATAAGTAATATTTGTTGATCTTAAAGAAGAGACTGGGGATAGCATTTCTGAGTCCCTATGACTCTGAATCCTTAGTTTCTGGTGAACACCATGTGTAAGATGCTCTTGATGTGTGTTTCATTTGTTTGCTTCATTCATGGACTCACGATTTCCTCTCCCATTTCTACCCCCGCCCCACCCTCTCCCTCCTCCCAGTAACTATCAAAAGATAAAGTTCCTCTTTCATAGCCATTATTTGCTGAAAGAATAAAAACGTGGAGTGTCAGTCTCTGTAGTCTGTGTGAGCAGCACTTCCATTCTATTCAAAAATTTCCGTTGCTTTTTGTAATTTCAGTTAACAATAGAGTGCAGTATGCATCCAGCTCTCGGCCCTCTCCCCTGCAGCACTGTAGGCACTGCACTTCAGGGAGGTTTTTGAGCCACTCTGCAGTGTTCAGGTGCTTTTGCCTTGCTCTGAACTTGCCTCAGATCAGTATGCTGATAAGAGTCGGACATGTTCTCGAGGCATCCTGTCAGGCAGTTTTGATCAACAGGACATTCAGAAGTACAGTAGTGTTTATGAGACCATACGGGTGAGGTGTATCAGGAATACATAGATTCCTTGTGTTTTTAGATTGAATAAACCAGTTCTCTTCAAGCATCTCCATTTAGCCCCTGGATGTCATGATTACACATACTTTAAAATCCATGCCCTACCCTCCTTAGCTTGCTGGGAACAAAGGTCTTTTGATGGAGATAATGTTTACATTGGTCTATAAGTATTTAAATATAAATAGGAAATTTTGCAATTTGGGGGTAACTATCATAAAGAGAGGGCTGTAGTCCGAATAGTTGTCAGTCTGCTAAAGGAAAAAATAAATACCTCAATAAAATTCCTTTTATAGACTGGTTCCATAGAATAAATGTTTTTATGATAATGATTTACTATACCATTCCAAATGACTTAAGAGTTGTTACACATGCATTTATATGTGAATGCTTTATTTTAGTTGTTAGAGAAAAATGTCTTAAGTACTGCATCGTTAAAAGTTACTTGGCTTACTTTAGTTTTTAAAGAGGGAAAGTTTTAGGGAAGTAGAGAATGCAGGATGGTTTTTAACCCTTTTGTGCTAGTCATATATTAGACATGTTACTCTATCTTTGTATTTAAACTGCCATGAAATTTCCTGACAGTCCTTACATTTGTCTTTAGAGAAATTGGGAGTGTTGAATGTATAATTTTGTGCATAGGAAATTCAAATGAAAGAGTAAATGTGAATCTAGAAAGATAGGCTTTCCTTAACGGGTTAAAATAAAAAGAAAGAAAACCCAAAATCCCAAATCTGTTCTGCAGCCTGTCCCCTCTTATGAGTTTTCTGCTAGCTTCTCTTTCTGTTGTTACTTTCCCAGTCCTTGCTTTCAGCCTCCTTGTCTAATGAACTCAATTGAATTATCGTTTAGAATGTCCTTCTCCTCCAACCTCAACCACTACGGCATGACTCACGTTGCTAGTGTCAGTGACGTGCTGTTGGACAATTCGTTCACTCCCCCATGCCAGCGGATGGGTGGAATGGTCTCTTTCCGGACTTTCGAAGATTTTGTCAGGTAAGACACCATGGGATTAGGTCTGTACAGAAAGAGCCATGAGCATGGCTCAGATTTTGGCCAAATGAATAAAGATCCCCAGAATAGTCATGAACCAGATAAGAAGAGGAAGTTCCTTTGCTTCTTGCTGGATATATACTTAAAGGGGGATGTGTCCTTCTATTTCCACTACTCACTCAGACTTTACAAACCTCTACTTGTTTTATGAGCCAGGTCAGGGGGAAAAAAAAAGAAACAAACAAAACGCATCTTTTCTTAGGAGCTAACAGAAGAAGCTGTCTGCTCTGTGATGAGTGAAATGTCAGGAGAAATTAAACACAACACTAGAGTGAGCCCCACCAGAGACGATACATCTTTTGATTAAATGCATTCAGCATCTATCTCTTGATGTATACTGATGCATTACCCTAGGGGGAGGGGTAATTACATTGGTTTGTCACTGCTCCAGTCCCAGGCTCTTTCTGTTACTTTAAGACCGATGATGACAGCAGTGCTCATATCTTACATGTGGGGGGAAAGAGGCAAAACAAAGAAGCTTTAGATCATTCTTTTATAAAAAAGAAAAATATATATATGGTTTATTAAAGTTTAAACAATCCATCCTCCTAATTTCTGCCACTTGCTGAAATTTTGCATGTCACCTCTAGCCACTGGTGATTCTATTCAGTTGGCTCTTGCACACAGTGTGAGATGAATTATTCTTTTAGAAGGGGCTGGCGATGGCAGCACTAGTTTCCTGCCTCTTAGGTTTTCTGCCACCTGGGTTTTCATGGTGGGTGTTTCACTGGTATTTTTCAGGATCTTTGATGAAGTGATGGGCTGTTTCTGTGACTCTCCACCCCAAAGCCCCACATTCCCCGAGGCAGGTCACACATCTCTGTATGATGAAGACAAGGTATAGTGTCCCCTTTGGGAAGCTGCTTTGCTCTTTTAGACCAGGACTTGTGCTGTTTACTCTCTTTCAGAGTTTGAAAAATGATAGGGAAGTTTTCATCTTTTTACCCTTCTTTTTGTTATTTGGCTTTGATTTCTCAAAGTGTGTTGTTTTTTACCAGTAGAATATAAAGTCTAATCTAAAATATTTTTTAACCTAAAGTAATAATTCTGCTGGTCTATGAACTGAGCTTACCATGGCAGGGAGATGGCAAGGGTGGGGAGTTTGATTTGGGGGTGTAGGGGTGGGTGTCCTGAGAGAATGGTGAAAGGAGGCAGACAGTGGTGGAGGGTGTGGGATTGGAATGTATGCATGAAACCCCGTCATTAACAGTATTGTAAATCATGTAGATGCAAAAGAAAAAGAAATCCTGACTGTGAGGGTTTGGAGAGTTTCTTGGTTACAAAGCATATGAAGTTGCTGGAAGGGTGATATTCCAGGGAATTCCATGCCCCTTCTCCATACCTTACCCTGAGCATTTCTTCCATCTAACTATTCCTGAGTTGTATTCATTATGATACATGAATGATCTAGCATGTAAAATTAAATATTAAAAAAATAAGTCTTACAATCCTTAGTTACATTCATTGAATATTTGATGTTTATTTTTACAGTAGCCACCAGGGCTATACCCAGCAGTACTGCATGGGAGTTCATCTATATGGTGTCAAGGATGGAACTCAGGGCCCAGCATTTGCTAGGCATGTACTCTACCACTTGAACTATTTTCTCAGCCTAAATGTTAGGTATTTATTTGTATGTATTGACTTGGGAGTTACTTCTGAAAATGCTCAAGAGAGCAGGCAGTCCTGAAGATAGAGTCTGAGGCTCCCTCAAGAGACATACTCTCCAGCCTTTAAGCCATCTTCCCAAAGATGAGCTTTGGCTTGTTTTCAATTCTTACTCAGTAATGCCTTGTATATTTCTGTAGGGTTATTATTCTAGTCTTTAAGGAATGGTGGGCTCTGGATAGCAAAACAAAAATGGACATTTTGCTTAAAATTTCCTTACCCATTTTTGTCTTCCAATAAATAGATTGTTCTATTTTTGCCCCAGCATCTTATTTCCCAGTGGTTTGATTCTTCCATTATTCAATAAATATTTAGGAAATACACTATGTGGGAATATATTCAGTTGCCTTCTTTCACTAACTTTTTCTCAGATCATTTGTAGAGAACTAGCGAATGAATTTGTTCCTATTAGTGAAAAAATAAGTACTGGTATTTTAAGTTTATAGGTGGTTTGGAGTCACCTAGATAATATCTTTGCTACATTCTTTAAGTTAGGTGTTTCACTTTGTGTAATCTCTGTTACAGATGTGGGCAATACTGTCACTTTGCTTGTCCCTACTGGTGAGCAGATCCAAATGTCTTCCCAAGCATCTTTAGATATTCTTCCAAGCACTATAGCTTTTGTCTCCCTCTTTATTAGCAACGCCTCTCATTTCTTTAACTTGTATTCTTGGATTGCAGGTCCCCAGGGATGAACCAATTCATATCCTCAATGTGGCTATCAAGACTGACTGTGATATTGAGGATGACAGGCTGGCAGCTATGTTCAGAGAGTTTACCCAGCAAAATGTAAGACCTCAGTTGCATGGAAGCTAGTGATGACCCCTTGGCAGCTGGTTGAATATCATGGTCATCCTTTTCTCAGTTGGTACTTGTAAGGCGTAATATTACTAGTGGCTATTTCTTTTACATACTTATTTTACATCGCCTGTAAAGGGTAAAATTCTATTGCGATTTAATAGTATGTAACGAATGTCTTTGTGTCTAGAAGTTTACTTAAAATGTTTCAAAGAAGGAAAATTGTATTCCGAATTTTTCCAGAACTCTAGTATTAACTTCCAGTCTGTTCCTGAATGTTTTCCTTTGGTGACTTATACTATGCATCTACCTTCAAGCCAAATTTCCTTCAGCTCCCTCTGTCACCCTTTCCCCTCCTTTGAAAATATCAGTTATACTATTTTGGTGTTTTTTTTGGGGGGGGGCATACCTGGCAGTGCTCAAGGGTTACTCCTGGCTCTGCACTCAGGAATTACTCCTGGCAGTGTGTGGGGGACCATATGGGATACAAGGGATTGAACCCCAGATGACTTGCATGCAAGGTAAGAGCCCTTCCCTGCTGTGCTATCTCTCCAGTCCCCATCAGTTAGACTTCTAACCTTTTTTCAGTTTTGTGTCATTTAGATATCTTGTGTTGACATTAGATTTCGTATTTCAATCCTTAATTTCCATTATTTCTTTGTTTCTTCTGATCTTTGCAATATCCTCTCCCAAAACAAAAGCTAAAACAAAACAACACAAAAACCCAAACCCAAAAATGATCCCCAGTTATTTAAAAGTCCTTGATTTCTTTTCCGTTACCTTCCTGTTACTCTTACTCTCTGCCCACTCTCTGTTTATTTTTATTGAGACACTGCACTAGGGTTTTTGTCAGCTACCACTCTTCCTCCTCTCTCTATCCCTCCACATGGGTTCTCAGCACCATAAGATTAAAGGTTCAGAATGTCCCAATGCTGGTGTGTGAGAGACAGTACAGGGTGTAAAGTGCTTGTCTGGCACATTGCAGATCCCAGTTCAGTCCTCACATTGTCTATCCTCTGAGCACAACCGGGAGTAATCTCTGAGCACAGAGTCACGAGTAAGTCCTGAGTACAGTTGGGTATGGTCCAATCAACCCTACTTACCACCTCCCTACTCCCCACCCCCCCACAGACACACAAACACAAACACACTCACACACACACACATCCCTTAGCCATGTTTGTCTCCGGCTCAACAGTGATTTTCTTCCTATGGAATACTGTTTTACTTTATTCTTAGCATCAGCCTTGTAACAAAGGCTAACACTCCAGCTTCTGACAAAGACTTAAATTTGCCTTGTCTCATCTGCTTTGTGAACTTCATTTGTTCTGTTGCTCCCACTCTGAAATATTTTCTTACTTCCTCCTTTCCTCAGTCCCTCGTGCTTATTTTAGGAAGGACCTCAAATTTCACCTCTTCTCTGATTAGCTCTTACTGAAAAGTTATTTTCTTTTTTGAGTCTCTAATCCATCAGCATACATTCATTAAGCAACAGTAAAAAATTGGTTTTGTTTTTATTTTGTGACTGGTAGGGTTCTTTTGCTTGTTTTGTCTGTTTGTGTGGGGGCGAGGTCTGGGCCATACTTGGCAGTGCTCAGGGACTATGCCCAGCTTGGAATTTGAGAATTACTACTGACTGTGCTTGGGTGATCAGGCAGTGCTAGGGATTGAAACTAGGTCTGTCACATGCCAAGTAAGTACTCCAGCCCTTTATGCTAGCAACCTGTCCCCAATAATAACAGGATTTAGAATCTATGAAGAACTTATTCTTCTGATAATGAACAAATAATAAAATAATAATGCATTCATTGATTTATAAAGAATTTTCATATGCTTTTTTGTAACTTTATAATGTTTTACCATATACTTTAAAAAAAAAAAAAACCTTACAGCAATCCCATGGGATTAGAAATCTCATTTGTACATATGAGTCGGAAAAAAAAACGAACCTTACTCAGATTAAGGCTCCTTCCTTCATCATTGGCTGGTAGATGATGGAGCAAAAACTAGAATTTAAGATTTTTTAATTTATTTATTTTTTACTAACACCTGGTAGTGCTCGGGGCTTACTCCTGGCTCTGTGCTCAGGGATCACTCTTAGCAGGCTTCAGGGGACCACTTGGGATGCCAGGGGTTTCACATCACGTAATATGCACAGTAGCACTGTCCTCCTGTTGTTCATAGATTTGCTCAAGCCAGCACCAGTAACATCTCCATTGTGAGACTTGTTGCTACTGTTTTTGGCATATCGAATACACCACTGGTAGCTTGCCAGGCTCTGCCATCAGGCGGGATACTCTTGGTAGCTTGCCGCGCTTTTGGAAAGGGATGGAGGAATTGAACCCGGGTCGGCCGCATACAAGGCAAATGCCCTACCCGCTGTGCTATCACTCCAGCCCATCACATAATATACCTAGGAAAAAACATAAGCTTGTGATTAATGCGATTCAAAGCATTTACTTCTTGAAGGTTTCAAGCACATAAACCAATCATAGTGTTTCAGTGGCCAAAATGAAGAAGAGGAACGAACTTCAGGAGAAACAACAATAGAGGGCATATCTTGGAAGTGTTCTTTAAGAGTTTCCCATCAAGGGGCCAGCAAGATAGTACAGCAAGTAGGATGCTTGCCTTGCATATGGCTAAGCCCATTTCAATCCCTTGCTGCACATATGGTTGCCTGAGCACTTCCAGGAGTGATCACTGAGCCCCACAAATAGGGGTGTAGGGCAACAAAATGGGGGCAAAAGGGAGTTTACCATCTTTCTTGTCCTTGACTGAAGGCACATAAATTTACCTGAGACCAGGGACAAGTGTAACTTTAGTTAAACGTCTGAATATTATGCATGACTGTTGCAGCTGCTTTATGATATAATCTAAAAGTTTTTCCCCAGATTTTGAGATAGCACTTATCCATCTTAAACTTATTTTTACCTGAGCTTTAGGGAGTTTGTTTGTTTGTTTTTGGGTCACACCCAGCGATGCTCAGGGCTTGCTTCTGGTTCTGTGTTCTGGGGTTTCTCCTGTCAGGCTCAGGGAACCATATAGGATGCTAGGGATCCAACCTGGGTCAGCCGTGTGCAAGGCAGGTGCCCTACCTGCTATACTATTGTTCCAGCCCAAATAAAGGGTTTTGCTGTTGTTGTTTTTTAATCATCTAAGTGTTTTTCGCCTTCATATGTTGGTTTAAAGAGGCCATTTCTTTGACTTCACTATTTATAATAATAGTTGGCATCAAGGAGTTACTTTTCATCTTTATTGAGTGAATTGAGACAGCGAAATGCAATGCCTTTGTCTAAACTAAGCAAAAAGGTAAAGGTAGACTATGCCAACATTCCAGGCTTAAAGGAATTATTAACTGTATCAAGTATGTTAGTTATCAAGGGAAACTTGGTGTTCTTGCCTGTGTTTTTATGGGAAAATGTATAAAAAGAAAAGGAAGAAAAGCAATTTTTAAAAAAAGTTGATATGATAACTAGTTTTTTCACTTTGTGATCATGCTTCTAGCAGTTTAGAAAAAGTTTTTTTTTAAAGCACACATTAAACTATCAAATAGGTTGATCCAAATTGTTCAAATAATCTTCTAGTCCCAGCATGTCTTTTTTCTCTCATAGAAATTAGGATCATATATTTGTAAATGACTCTTGTGGAGGAGATTGAAGCAGTCAGTGTAAATGGAGTTTCTCCAGGTGCTGACGCCTAATCGCTGGGTAATAGCTGTGGACTTGCTGTGAGACCCGCATTATTACAATGTAATCAGAATCCTGTTGCTCTGCTGTTATTGTCAGCCACTTGTGGAATTTTAAAAGCAATAACAATTTTGATTTTAAATCATGGCATTATTAAAGTTATTTTCTTTCCTTGCCAGAACATAGCTATTGATGCTTGTCTTTGAAGGACTTCGCTGTAGTGGAATTCTTTGTGGGTATCAGAAGAAATGTTTCTCTACCAGGGCACTGAGAAACCGAGAACCCCCACTCCTACTACAGTTCTTTCTTTCAGCAGCATTTTTTTCTTACTGCACTATCAGTACTTGGTCATTTACACAATTGGGTATGATCTCAGTACAGACCATTTTTAAACTGGTTAAATTAAATTGTATTTTATTTTACTTTGGAGTTTATTACTAAAATGTTTCTTCAGTTAGCTTTTGTTTATACAAGTAGCTAATTTTTTTTAGTTCTAAAATTAATTTGATTTTTTTGTTTGTTTGTTTTTGGCTCACACCCAGTGTGCTCAGGACGTACTACTAACTCTGTGCTCAGGGATCACTCCTGGCGGGGCTCAGGGAACCATATGGGATGCTTGGGATCGAACCCAGGTCGGCCGCGTGCAAGGCAAGTGCCCTACCTGCTGTAATACTGCTCCGGCCCATAAAATTAACTAATTTTAATTAGAAATGGAATAATAGGAGGAAATCACCCAGAAATATGCTCATTCATAGTAAGAAATGAGTTTTGATTTTAAAAATTCACAGGGTGAGGAAAATTATGAATTGGCAGCCTGGGCCAGAGAAAGTGAGTACTGTGGGTAGGGTGCTTGCCTTGCACGTGGCTGACCTGGGATCGGTCCCCAACATTCTCTATGGTTTCTTGAGCCCCACCAGGAGTCATCCCTAAGTGCAGAGCCAGGACTAAGCCCTGAGCAAAACTGGGTGTTGCCCAGTGATTAAAAAAATAAAAAAGAATTGGTAAGATCAGTACATTGCATGCAAACCTATTCTTTGCACACACAAAGCCTGATTTCAATTCCCAGAACTACTTGATTCCCCAGTCACCGCTGGGTGTGATCCCTGAGCACTGAGCTGAGCTGGTAGTAGCTTTCAGCACTACTGGGTATATCTCCCCAAAACAAAAACAAATAACTGGCTTATGAACATAAATTCACAGTATAATGAGCAATAGTGATCAAAGTAATGTCTAGATGTTATTTTGAAAGTCTACGTATTTTTCCTTTTTCTTTTTCAGAGCAGAGGGGGCACTCAGAGGCCACTAGAACTGTATCCAGTGGTGTTGGGGGTCCTATTCTCAACTGAGGATTGAACCCAGGAGGGCCTTGCATATGCAAGGCATGTATGTGCTCTGCCCTTTGAGCCATATCCCTGCCCCTGCTCCTTTATTTTCTCAGGTCACTCAGCTAATTGGTAGAATTGGTTTTCTCTTTGTTGCCATATCCCCCATTTTGTTGGGAACCTTTAACAACATGTCTTTTACTTTTTAATCAGTTTTTATCTCTCATGTGAGATTGGATAGCAGTACAGCATAGAGGAAGGCTTCGACCCAGAGACCCAAGATTCATATAAGGGGCTGTCCTGAGGTGGTGTTCTCTGTTAGCTTCTAATAATTTGCTCGTCTGTGCTAAGTGAAGATAAGAATAATCATTAAACTTTAAGTCTGTTAAAGTTTGGAGTTTAAAAAAGAAATTTTTTGGCACAACCCCAAGTTGTGCTCAGGGATCACTCTCGCAGGGCTTGTAGGGAACCCTATGAGCTGCCAGGGATCGAACTTGGGTCTGCTATGTGCAAGGCAAACGCCCTATCTGCTGTACTATCTCCCCAGCCCCTGTTCAACATGGTTGTTGTTTTAAAAGTATTAAACACAAAAGTATTCTCCTGTAAACTAGAAGAGAAATGATTTCGAAGAAGTGATAGATTAGATTCTAGGAATGCTAAATCTGAGGTAGGTTGAATCTAAATCTCGAAGTGTTTCTTGAAGTGGTCAAAACCACCCCATGAGGGTAGTGAAAAGATCAGGGGCTGGGTGTACCCTCTGGTAAAAGTGGTTGTGGGGATTTCTGTTTAGTTGCTTAAAGAAGTAAATTTCCAGGAGGGGGAGACTTCACTTAGTGTGATTTCTTTTTCTGAAAAAGGGAACAATGGGATGACAGTTATTTTGGGAACCTGTGATCCAAACAATAGGTTAAGACCTAAATTTTCTGTTTTATAGAAATTTTATCTTTTCACTCTTTCTTATTTCAATTAGCTTCTGTTACATTATTCATCTTTGCATTTCGAATACATAGCCACTGGTTTGATTTCTATAAGCAGAAGTTGTTTTTAGTCCACCTTGATCAGAATCAATCCTTAGGAAATTTGGATGACTGCATTTGATCCATTGTCTCCACAGACCTCTTACAGTTTTGTACAGGTCAATATAAAGTCTGTTCGATAAAACTATCCCTGGAGTCAGGTTGAAATTTTTTTTGTTTTTAAGTTTGAAGGTAGCCATGATACATATAATTAAAGAGGGTGCTTAGACAAATCAGAACCTTATAAAAACTGAATGGAATAAAATTTGGAATGAATGGAGATCTCACTTTTTTCCCCTGTTGATCTTGTTTTGTTCCTAGAAAGCTACTCTGGTTGAGCATGGAATACGGCGCCTTACTTTCTTGGTTGCACAAAAGGTATCTCATGTGAATTTTCTGTCTCTAATATTTCTTACACTTACACTAGAATTTTTAAAATTAAAAATGAGATTCTAAGCATATACTTGTAGAATTTATGCCAAGAAACAGTTGTTTTTCTTTAGTTTAAAAAATTTTGCTCATCACTTTTACTTAGTTTGTTCTTAATTACTAATTGCCAGCTTCTACTGTTTTTTATTTTTTTTCTTTTGTTTGAAAGGATTTCAGAAAACAAGTCAACTATGAGGTGGATCAGAGATTTCATGTAAGTAAAAGAATCATAATAGAAGATTATTTACTGTTCTATTTGTTTGCCACTGATTATTTAAACATAGAATACATGTGAGTTATTTAAAAAGGCTGTACTGACATTTGGTCCTTCTTCTTTTAGCAAATATGATGAATAATCCATTCTTTATCAAGTATTCAAGCTAAAGGCCGTTCTTTTTTTCACCCTGTAATGAATTCTCAGTATATTTCTGAAAAATAGTTAAGAATAAGGATATGAATTTACCCAAATGAATAAGGTATAAGCAGGAGCTAAATAGTAATTTCTTCTAGTGCACACACAATGAATCAATAATCAAGATCTGCCAGTTGCTCTTTGGATATCGGCTTTTACCAAAGATAGAATCAGGTTCTATTATTGAGAATTCTCAGTTCTGAAAAACAGTCATTTATTATTTAAAGTTCCTGAACAAAGCCCAAATTGGTGTTTTTGTTAATACTAGGAGCAGGAAGTAAAGTTAAGTATTGAGTTGCTTGTTCTCCCTTTTACCTTAATATTTATTAGATAAAATAATTTTATTAAAAAGAGAATAGCCTGGCATCTGAACTGCTGTATACCCAGATGATCAGACCTAGTATAATGACAAAATCCAATTTGCAATAAAGAAGTCATTCTCTAAATTGACTAATTGTAGTACAAATGTTTCTTTGAAGAATAATGTTAATGTAACTAAAGATTCTAGGTGATATTAGGAAGTCTCAATTTTCCGAGTAAGATTGTATTTTGTTTTAGCAATTGAGATAATTATGTTAGTTTTCAATCCCTGTTTATTTGCAGTAATGGAGGTAACATTTGGGAAGCTGGAAAGGACTTCCTAAATTCAAGGACCTATGTGTGATTGTTTTTATTGTCCTTTTCTTTATTAAGTCTCTTGTACTTGACACTTTGTTTCTCTTCTCACAATGTACTTTTTTGGTTTAGTCTATAGAGAAGTCCGATGACCTATCCTGCAAGTTAAAGAGCTAAGATTTTCCAAAACGCTTTAGGAAATGTTGACCACGCACCTCCCTAGTGTTATTGATGTCATGAAATCAAGCCAAGTGCTGATACATATAAATCAATAACTTTAGATAGGAAACTGGAGGCGGTAGAGAAGTGTGAGGAGCTTAGAGAGAACCCTAGGGCTTTAGGAAGAAAAATCAGAAGCTTACAGAATAAAATTGATACATTGGGATAGAATTTGAGAACCCACAAATTCTATTGCTGGTAGATGCTTATCAGAGCTGAGGTTAAGTATGCCAGAGCCAGACTCTGGATTTAGGAAGAGTATTGGGCTAGGTCTTTAAGTATTAAGGTGATTTTCTGGTTTTTTTTTTTTCATTTGCTATGAAAAAAAAAATCACATTATCTGGGGGAATAATATTGAATTTGTAAAGTTGTTTTTCTTTTCCCTGATGGTTCATATGGAGTCTTCATTTCCACCACACACTGACTAGTTCTTGGTAACAAACATTCCATAATATACCCATCCACTAAAAAAGAAAAAAAAAATGTGGCGCCACATCTTACAGTTCTCAGAGGCTGTTCCCTACTTTGTTTCTTTTTTTTTTTTTCTTTTCCTTCTTAGTTTTTAGGTCATATTCAGCAATGCTAAGCCCTGTTGGCTCTGCATTTAGGGATCACTCCTGGCAGTGCTCACGGGGCTATGTGAGCTGCTGGGGCTCGAACCCAGGTTGGCCACATGCAAGGCCAGTGCCCTACCCACTATACTATTGGCTCCTGCCCTTTCCAACTTTGTGCTCAGAAGTGACCCATGGCTGTTATCAGGGGGACCATTTGTGGTCCAAAGGATCAAATCAGGGGTCAGCTTCATGCAAGACATGTGCCTTAACTAACCCTTCTAGCCCAACACGTTTTTTTTCTTTTGCCTCAACATTTTTTTAAATGTCAAAGAATTTAATATTTTTTTGTTTCTTTGCTTTAAGTTTCTGTTTTGGGCCATACCTCTAGGTCCTTGGGTACCACTCCCAGCTCTGGGGACCATATAGTGCTCAGGATTGAACCTGGGCCTGCTGCATGCAGATCATTCATTGCATGGGCTCAGTCCATTGAATTAACTCTCCAGCTCCAAAGCAGTAAATTCTTACTAGCTTTTTTGTGAGTTATATTTTGTATTTGTCATACATGTACCAAAACTCCTTTATGTCATGTCCTAGAACTTATCTAAACTTCAAACTTTCTTTTTCCTCTTTGCTCTTCTAGTATTTTTGGAATGTGGTTGAATTAGGAAGTAGGAACTTGAGTCTGGTGCCTTAGACCACTTGGCCATCCTGACACACTGGAGCGATAGCACAGCAGTAGGGCATTTGTCTTGCGCCAAGCCGGGTTTGATTCCTCTGCCCCTCTTGGAGAGCCCGGCAAGCTACAGAGAGTATCTCGCCCATGCAGCAAAGCCTGGCAAGCTACCTGTGATGTATTCAATATGCCAAACACAGTAACAACAAGTCTCACAATGGAGATGTTACTGGGCCTGCTCAATCAAGCAAATTGATGAACAACGGGAAGACAGTGTTTGTTTTTGTTTGGTTGAATTAGGACATGTATAAGTAAAACCCAGTGACTCTTTACCAGGAATCGCTATCCAGATCTTATTTATAGTGCTGTCAAATGAGAAATCCATTATTGTCATTTTTATGTCCTGCATATAGGAATGGTTGTATTAGGATGGTCAGTGTGTCAAGGTCTTAGTTGTGGTTTGAATTTGATCTGAAGAATTGGATGATAAAGAAGTTGGGTGTTTTCATGGTAGCCCCCTTAGAAATTATTTGTGGGGGCTTGCTCTTCAAGCCTGTTTTCTCCCTTGAACCTGTATTTCACTTGCTTGTCTCTGGATCTCTTTGCTTCTTTAACTCTGGAGAAGCCTGGATTCTCTCTGAACACTAATTCTCTCTTTCTCTCCCCTTGCATCTTTTTAAGTAACTGTCTGTAAAAACTATCTTGTTTCACCAAAAAGAAGAAGAAATTTATAGGGCCAGAGAGCAAAGTGTGTAGGGCACTTGCCTTGCATGCAGCCGACCCAGGTTTGATTCCTGGTGTCCCATATAATCCCATGAACACCACCAGGAATGATCCCTGATCACAGAGCCAGAAGTAAGCCCTGAGTGTAACCAGGTATGGCCCAAAACAACAACAGCAACAACAACAACAAAACTTGTGGTTACTCTGGGGTCTCGGGCAGCTATTACTGAGCTCTAGACAGGATCTATAACAGCTAGGTAGCTTTGACCGGAATTGTACAAATCTGGGACTCACTATCATTGTGCTGCTATAATTCCTCTCCTGGGGGTACCCTGAAACTCATGGATGCTTAGCCTCTGTCATGTCATCTGATGTGTGATTGCCCCATAGTTAGTGTAGTGTGAAAAAGAGGAAGCTTTCTGGGAGTGTTAGAAATGAATCCCTTGATCTCTCTGGCTACTTGGTAATCTACTGTGATGTATGCAGCCTCCCCTGTTCTACACTGTGAAATCCCGATATTATTGAATAGAAGAGAGAATGAGCACATGAGGGGCCAAGGAGAAGAGGAAGGTTACCAAGTCTAGTTCAAGAGCAGCAAAGGCTGGTATGGAATGAAGCAACTGTGCTGTTATACAGCCAGCTGTCAGCTCTCAGGCTCTTAAAACCAGAGCAAGAAGAATGAAGGCTCAAGGGAGTAAAGGTTCATAGAATGCATTGTCTATTATTAGGTGTTTATTCCTATGCTAGTGAAGCCTATAAACATATCTAAAACTTTGTTTAATCATCACGGTCCTCCAGAGAGCTGGCCCTTGGACTCCATGGAGATTGCACGTGTGTGTGTGTGTGTGTGTGTGTGTGTGTGTGTGTGTGTGTGTAAATACATGTAAATAAATTTTAGTCTCAACAAGCAAAAATCTGCGTTTCTTCATGCCTACAGATTGCAGTTCTTTGGCTTATTTTATTGGTGTGTGTGGGCCACACCAGCTGTGCTTAGGGCATGCCCTTGGCTCTTAGCTCGGGGATGACTCGTGGTGGTGTTTGGATCCTGGGTATTAACCCGGGTCAGCCCTGTTCAAGGCAAGCACCTGACCTCTTCAATCCTAGTTCTCTGGTTTTATGTAGTACTACCTCTTCAATCCTAATTCTCTGGTTTTATGTAGTACTAAGTCTGTTCATTCCACTCACATTTTAGATACCAAAAAAGGACAGTAGAAGGGACTGTTCAGTTGATTATAAATACTACCTTTTTTATGCTTTTCATATTTCTCAGCAAAACTTAGTGAAAGCTATTTACAAAAGGATTTATTTTAGTGTTTTTTTGCCCTTTGCCATCTCGCAAAAGCATTATGTCCAAAAACTGTGATAAAATTCTAAATCAGTTGCATTTGTTAAGTTTTCTTTTACTTCTTATTTATAAGATTTCATGACATTAAAGAAATTTTACTCTAGCTAGAAATCACTTAAGAGGTAGCTTTAATTTTACTGGATTTATGTCTCCTGCTTTAAAATGAAATGTTTGGGGTTATTTGAACCTGAAGGAGGATCCAGTTATCAAAAGCAGTTATCATGATTACTAGTTCATTTCTCTAAAAAAATATATTGATATGTCAATTTTATCTTGAAGTGGTGGATTTATCCCCCCACCTCAATTTAGTGGATCAATTATTAGTTTTTCAGAACGTTTGGTTTGAGTTTTTGTTTTAATTACAGTCTATATAATTAGTTCTCAGCATGTTGAGGTAAAAGAGAATTGCACCAGCAAGCTTCCAATTTCTTCATCTCATTAGGTTTTTAACACGATTATTAGTATCATAATCAGCTATGATGTTTTCTGTTGCAGGTTTTCACATTCTCTGATTTGCAGGGTGTCTTGATTGGCTAATTTAGGCAAATTATTTTGATTGTCTTGATGATGGTTGGCTGATTAGAACACAGCAGGGGTATAATCTCTTCCTGAGAAATGTTACATTCTTTTGTTTTTTGGTACCAAGACGCTAAGAGGGTTTTTCTTTGTGTACATTCAATTATGATATTTGCCCATAACACTAGTAGAATGCCTGGGAAGCAATTACATTAGAGATGGAGTAAGCATGAATACTGTTAGTGGAATAACTGACAGTGTGAAGATGAGAGAAGATGAAAAATTTACTGAAATTATAGGCTGGCTTGTGGATTTCTGTGTGTTTTGTGTGTTTCATGTGATTTTTGAATATCAAAAATGATTTACCATAAATCTTTAGACTTAAGCATCTTCCCAAAACATACTCATTCATCTTGCTGTTCCATTGCATGGTTTTTGCTGTTATTCTGAGTAGTTCATGTTTAAATCAAAGATAGTAGTGTCGTGTCAAAGATTTACCCAGAAGTTTTTAGAAGTTTACTTGCATTATCTTATAAGCTAGTCTTAATAACAGTGGTTTTTCTGATTGGTTGTCTTTGCTCACCTCTACCAAGAATTGCTCTTTCGTTATTTGTAGTAAAAGTAATTCCACTAAAATAGTTTGCTTTTTATGTCTTTCAGTTACTACAAATTTTCTTAATTGCTTTAGTGGTAAAGAAAGCATTTTGAGATTATTATTGTTTTTAAAGGAAAATTATTTTGATCTTAAAGTTTTACATATTTGAATAAGTGGTATACTAAACAACTATTTTAATTAACTAATTAATTGTTATGGCAGAATAGAAGAGTGTTATTTTAAGGATTCTAATAACTGCGCTCCTTGACTTTTCTTTCAGAAAATTTCGTGGATTTTATTACCCTTCTTTTTCTGACTTGTATTGCTTTTAGCTAATGCTCTGAAAGCCATACCTCTTGTGAATATAACCAAAGCTAGATGATAGAAAACCACAAGCATGAAATCTACTGATAACACAGTTCAATACCTTTTTGTCCTAACCTTGAAGTCATCCCCATGTTCTTCACTATCATTTGGGGGAATTAGAGAATTGTTTGGGACAAAAATCATCACCAGTAAAAGATCAATGCTTCAAAGAGCTTTTTAAAGATCCTATCCTGGGCAAGGGGTTTTCCAGGCTTGATACACAAGCTTCTAAAAGCATGTTAAATATAACTTTACAGTTAATGTCAAGGAAAATGTAATAAAGATTTACTAACTGCTCAAGCTTTAGTTACAATGAGAGTGACATGCAGTACCTACCTGTGGAAGTATTCAAGAAATTGTCAGTAAATTTAGTTTAAGTATTGATTTCACTTTATATGTTACTGTTGTAGTTTTAAGCTTCTGGGTTTTTTGGGTTTTTTTTTTTCATTTTCTTTTTTGGTCTCAGGGAAGTACTCGAAGGATTTTGACTTTAAGTTAAAAAAAATAATGTCTTGAGAACTATAGTGGTGGAGATGAAAGGGCATAGGCTCTGCATTAGACTAGTAGTACACAGTCTTACTCTGTGATCCTGAGCATGGCACTTGGACAATGCTTTCTCAGCTGTGAAATGGAGACATAATACCTACCTCAAGGGGTGGTAGAGAACAATACTTGGGATAACACATGAGAGCACCTGCCATCTAGAAGGGTTTCATTTCCTCTTTCCTAAAGCTCATTTGGGGTGGGGATGGGGGGAGGGTTAAATAACGACCCTTCTTGGTTTCTCTGCCTTATACCAATAAGTGATTATATTGCAGTCCTAATGAAGAAGAGGCCTAATGAAACCTCCTATAGAGGCACTGGTAATGACTTGATTCCAGCTCTGCAAGTAGAGCTTCCCATCCGAGAAACAGGGGTATTTGATGTTAATAAGTTAAATTTCAGAAACTAATGGACTCTGCTAATTGAATTCATCTTTGTTAATTAATAGGGTTCTAGTAAATTGGTTGCTTTCTTGTGTAATGCCATGCAAAAGAGCAGTAAGACCTAATAATTACAAGTTCACTGCATTTGCCCCATTCTTTGCTATATATATATATATATATTATATATATATATATATACACACACGTGTGTGTGTGTGTGTAAATATATAATGGTAGTGACCAAAGTAATATTATGTTTATTTCTTTGGAAACTTTATTGTTTTAACCCTTAATTTATTGACTTAAGAGTCAATTTTGAAAGAACATGGACTAAGGGTTCTGTATTTTCTAGCTAGTTTACATTTTAAGAATTTAAGGAGAAACTTGGGAAATCAGTCCAACGACTACTATTGTAATGGCTGCAGCATAAGGGAGTATAGGTTTGATTTGCCAGGTATAGGTTTGATTTGCCAGATGTCAAAAAAGTTTTTTTTAACTTGAGAGATGACAAACACTAATTTTCTTTTTTCCCTATGAAGGGTTAGCTATTGAAGTTAGGGTAATAATGTGATGATTTCTCAAATTGAAGTGGGGTCAAAGTGATGTTTACCCAGAGGATCATTCTTATTCCCTGGGCAAAGCTTAGGTGAAGAACATGTTTTCTAGGAAACTGTCTTCTAGATGCTTGACTGCTTCTGCACTATGCGTTTATCCCCAAAGAGTCATATCTATGAAAGACTGACACATTTTTCGTCTTCTTTAATGCAGAGAGAATTCCCTAAATTTTTCACATTCCGAGCAAGAGATAAGGTAAGGACATATTTTCTCTTTAGTTTTAGATCTTTTTTTTTTTTTTTCCTTGAAAGCCGAAGGGTGGCTTATCTTTGCCATTTGTTCTTCTTACCATTCTCCTTCCTCTAATTGAATCTGGGCTTTCCTTTGCATTGTATGTATCTTAGACTCCCTTGAAGGGTTTGCGTTAGGAAACAGTCAACTATATTGACTTACCCAGTGAAAGTGATAACTTTGAAGAACATACCTATACTTTAAGGCAATACTAATGATGTAATTCTGAAAGACTGCTATAAGTGTATATTTATAGCATTTATTTTTAAAAATAAATGCATTTAAAAAATTAAAAAGAAAATATGAAAAATAGAAAAATAAAATAAAAAGCATTTAAAAAATGTGCATTTATTTTTTCAGTTTAAAATACAAAAATTCAAACCCTGTTGGCATCTTTTTGGATCTCATTTATTCAATTGATTTAGTTTAATTTCAGCAAGACATACAGTAAATACAGTAAATTAACTAATACAACTTTTAAAAAATATTTATAATTAATTGTAGATAATATCTGGTCTTTTTTTTTCCTTTAAATAAAATTACATGTTTATTTGTCAAGTATTTACTATATGTTTTGTACTCTTCCTGAATTGATGAGTACGTACCAGTAAGCATTTTAGACTCATTGGTAAATCTAAAGCATGAATGTATGAAGCAGATATTAATATAAAATCTGTAATACAAAGTCTGTCAAAAATATAATTAACAAATTTAAATGCTACCAGAATTCTGAGGGAGTTGATGCCCACCCTCCTCTTCTTTCCATTTGATGTTTTGTTGTTGTAGTGTCCACAAACACACTGTGGTGTTTACATAATTAGTTGTGTTGGCCAGGATTGTACATCATGTGCTTGCCAAAAGTTGCACTCTTTTTGTTGTGTGTTTACACATGTACAAACCGTAGGGTTGTGCTCTTTAAATATATTCTGATTATCATACTTCTGGGATCAATGAGTGCCTACACAACTTTTAGTGGTGTTCATTAGGGATCACATCTTTTTAGTTTTTCTGCTCACATTTACCTGACTAAAGTGTGAATGAAATCATTTGCAGCACCAGAGATCACATACAACAGAGCTTTCAGAATCATCTGCTGCCTCCAGGAACTAAACTCTCAATCTTATGCTTGCAAAGCAGGCATTTTTTTTTTTTAATTTTTATTAGTGAAACACCATGAGGTACAGTTGTAGACTTACAAATTTTTGTGCTTGGGTTTCAGTTATACAATGATCAAACACCCATCCCTTCACCAGTGCCCATTCTCCACCACCACGGATCCCAGTATCCCTCCGAACCCCTATCACCCCCATCCCACCCTGCCTCTGTGGCAGGGCATTCCCTTTTGTTCTCTCTCTCCTTTTGGGTGCTGTGGTTTGCAAAAGGGGCATTGAGTGGCAATCATGTTCGGTCTGTAGTCTACTCTCAGCACGCATCTCCCATCCTGGAAGGATCCTCCCAACACCCTTTATTTGGTGGTCCCTTCTCTATCTTAGCTGCCTTTTCCCTTAGCGTGTGCAGCTGGCTTCCAAGCCATGGAGTATATCTCCTGATACTTATCCCAGCTATTCTTGGGTCTCCTATTTTGCTACTTTATGTTCCCCAGATGAAGGCAATCTTTCTATGTCTGTCCCTCTCTTTCTGACTCATTTCGCTTAGCATGATACTTTCCATGTAGTACCACTTGTATATAAGTTTCATGACTTCATCATTTCTAATAGCTACATAGTACTCCATTGTGTAGATGTATCAAAGTTTCTTTAACCAGTCATTTGTTCTCAGGCACTCAGGTTTTTTCCAGATTCTAGCTATTGTAAACAGTGTTGCAATGAACACAGAAGTGCAGATGTCACTTCGACTATACACAAAGCAGGCATTTTAAGTCAGTAAGCTATTCCTGGCAAGCCCCTTTGAATTTAATGAAGAGCATCATCATGTGTAAAAGCTTAAGTGATAGAAGTTTGGGCTGTTCATAGGTATGGTGCTTTAGTGCCCAATCTTTCGTAAACTATAGACTATCCTTGTATCTCATTTTTGTTGTTTGTTCGTACATCATAAGTTATGTTTCTGTTTTTAAACATTTCATTTATATACATATTCACAGTTTAATTTTGCAACTGCCTCTGATGAATTGTTTTGTTTTGTTTTTTCCTCCTGATTCTTGTACTCAGTTTGAGGAGGATCGTATCTATCGTCACTTGGAGCCTGCCCTAGCTTTCCAGTTAGAGTTGAACCGAATGAGGAATTTTGACCTCACTGCCATTCCATGTGCTAATCACAAGATGCATCTGTATCTTGGAGCAGCCAAGGTCGAAGTGGGCACAGAAGTGACAGATTATAGGTTCTTTGTTCGCGCAATCATCAGACATTCTGATCTGGTCACCAAGGTGAGTGCTAAATCTTATTTTAAAATTATTTAGGGAGGATCTCTCAGTGATGTCTAGGGGTTACTCTAAGCTCTTTTCTCAGGGTGGTGCTCCCGGCAGTGTTTGAGGGGCCGTGTCGTCCCAGGGATTGAGCCTAGGTTAACTGCATGCAAGGAAAGCACTGTAACTGCTATACTGTGTCTCTAGCTCTGGGTTCTGTACTTTTATGAGAAGTTTTGTGAAAGGAAAGGACAAAGAAAAAGGCATGGTTTAAAATCAGATATTCATGTTTTATAAAATACTCATTCTCTTTATCCCACTCCTATAGTCTGAGAGTTGTATTTCTTGCTGAGTATATAACTGTCACTGTCCTCCCGTTCATCAGTTTGCTCAAGTGGGCCCAGTAACATCACCATTGTGAGACTTGTTGTTACTGTGTTTGGCATATCAAATTTGTTACAGGTAGCTTGCCAGGCTTTGCCATTCCGGGCGAGATACTCTCGGTAGCTTGCCGGGCTCTCTGAGAGGGGCAGAGGAATCGAACCTGGGTTGGCTGGGTTGGCCGCATGCAAGGCAACCACCCTACGGCTGTGTTATTGCTCCAGCCCATTGAGTATATATTCCATTTAATAAAGAACTTTTTTTTTTCTTAAATCATTTTTGTTGTTCTGCTTAAGGTCGTACCTACTGGTGCTTAGGACTTACTCCTGGCTCTGCGCTCAGAGATCACTCCTAGTGATGCTTGGGGGATTATATATAGTGCTGGGGATCGAATTGGGGTCTGTTACATGGAAAGCCTTAACTCCTGTACCATTGCTTTGGCTGCAATACAAAGCTTTTTGAAAAAAGGTTTTGAATTTTCTTCATAATGGCAAGATGAACAACACTCACATGATAAAGAGGAAAGAATGCTGACAGAAAAATCACAGGGGGAGTTGGGTGATGATAGATGATAAAAGAAGCAAAGTGACCACTTTTTAAATCTTTCAGATTGTGTAGCGAGGTACCTCATAGGGTGTTAGTTATCACTTCATCCCCTAGCCATAACTTTTCTCCAATTTTTCCTTTCTAAACTGCTGTGTCTGGTACATATGAACTGTGATCCTATTAGAATTACAGCTCTGGGGATGGCATGTGTGTCCATATATTGGAAGGAAATGGTACACAGGGAGAAAGGAGGAAGGACTGGAAAACTGCCTGACTTGTCTGCCCCTACTGCCTGTGGTGGTTGAGCTGATTGTAGGAACAAAGGGAATTAATTAGCGACTGTAGCAGGCCACTTAGGATTCATGATATAGCACTGCTGAAGTCCTTATAAATACCACTTCTTTTATTTTTAAAATTTTATTTTTCGGTGCTGGGTAAGCCCGGCAAACTACCGAGAGTATCTCGCCCGCACGGCAAAGCCTGGCAAGCTACCCATGACGTATTCAGTATGCCAAACACAGTAAAAATAAGTCTCACGATGGAGACGCAACTGGGCCCGCTCAAGCAAATCGATGAACAATAGGAGGTCAGTGCTACAGTGGGTATTAAACCCAGATCCTCCCACATGCACACCATGTGCTCTGACACTGATCTTCATCAGTTGGCCTTTATTGACTCAAAAGACATTAACGTGGTCTGTATTTTCTTCCTACCTAGGAAGCTTCTTTTGAATATCTACAAAATGAAGGGGAACGGTTGCTCCTAGAAGCAATGGATGAGCTGGAGGTCGCTTTCAACAATACAAATGTTCGCACTGACTGCAATCACATCTTCCTCAACTTTGTTCCCACAGTCATCATGGACCCATCAAAGGTTAGTTGGTTTTTTAGCTTCTCTCTTTAGTGACTCTCCCAACTCTCCCACACATAGGAGGGACATTCATTCATACGTATTTTCACTTGGATCTGGAAACAGGTGGCCTTTCTTTGGCCACACCCAGTGATACTCAGGGGAAGTCCTGGCACTGCACTCAGGAATCATTCCTGGTGGTGTTCAGGGAACTATATGGGATGCCAGGAATCAAACCCAAGTCAATTGCATGCAATGCAAGCATCTTAACCCACTGTACTATCCTGCTCTTTCATGTCCCCTGGAAACTGTCTCTTGATTGGTTAAATCTTTGATCTTTAAAGTTTATGGAATACCTGTAGGACTGGTTTCTAGATGGTATCAAAAATTTGACTCACCACCTTCTCCAGATGGAATCACGGTGACCATGAATTTCTGCAAGCATGGCTCTGGCATGTGGGTACCAGGACTCTTTTTCAAACCACGCGACCGCTTATTCGGCTATGAGACATTTCCTGATATGCAAAGTGATCGATGGAAAGTAAATGATCTAGCGTTTGTCCCTGAATAACAGGCTTAAATTGTGGTGGGTAAATATGAGCAAAATATAATGCCCAACCGAAATGCATCTGGACTGTGTATTTAACTATGGTGCTATGCCACCCTGGGAGGGGAAGGGTGTCTGTCCCACTGCCTGTCCCCCTTTGCAGTGGCAGCATGGTGGCCTGCATCTTTTAGAGCCTAATGAACAGCCAGGTATGAGCTGCGTTGATGAGGCACGTGGGGCTTCATGGGATGGGATGGTGGAATCGGCCCTGCTCCCTGAGATGACAATGCTCTGGTTGCCACCTTCAAACGCCTCCTCCAGCTTCTGACCAACCTTGAACCCAGAGGCACACATACCAGTCTCGGAACCCAGCGGCTTCTGGCAGAAATCCCTCTAGGTTTATTATTAAAATAGCAGAAATCGAAATTCACATGGCCACTATTGTGCCCACCTGACATCATATGCTCTTCATAATCAGTAATAGAAAACAAATTATGACAGTGTTGGGTCTTTTGTTGCAATCTTGAATGTGATCAACAGAGAGAGAGAGAGAGAGAGAGAGAGAGAGGTAAAAATCTGCCACACATGCAGGTGGGAGAGGGGTATACTGGGGTTCTTGGTGGTGGAAAATGTGCACTGGTGAAGGGACAGGTGTTTGATCATTGTTGTATGACCAACCAAGACTTGAACTGAAAGGCTTTGTGACTGTTCTCACGGTGATTCAATAAATTAAAAAAAAAATTAACTCACCATTGAAAGTATACTTTGACATAAAAGCGAAACCTTTTTCTCCTCCTCCATTGATACCTATTTTATAGCATAAAACATGGTATTCTTGGTATGGTAGTCGTTCATGGTAGTCATCTTATGTAATTCCTTAGGTTTTCTCATCTAGAATAATTAATTATGCTATTAATGACCATTTTGGTAACATTGCTGCTACTTTGCACTAAATTTTGCTTTAATTTTTTGGCTTTAGGGAGTTAATGAACCTCCTCAAGGCTTCCTACCTATTAAACTTAAGTGTTTTTCCATGGGAAAAGAATTGATTAATAAGGAATTTCACATACATTATGTATGTTTTGAATTGATTAACAAGGAATTTCACATATATTTTGTATGTTATCTTACCTGAGACTATTTTCTAAAGTACATTTTATATAATTTTATGTATGGAAAACAAGCTGATTCTGTACTTGACCTTTTCTCCCAATGTAATACAATAGGCTACTCTCTGCTTCTGCTCCCCCTAACCTTTTCCTGTTCTGATACTGTGGAAAATAGTTAGTAGACCAGTATTTCCTTTTACTTATTTTTCCTTTTTCATTGTATCGGTCTGGAGCAATAGCACAGTGGTAGGGCATTTGCCTTGCGCACAGCCTGCCCTGCCGAGCCGGGTTTGATTCCTCCGCCCCTCTCGGATAGCCCGGCAAGCTACCGAGAGTATCTCGCCCACACAGCAAAGCCTGGCAAGCTACCGGTGATGTATTCAATATGCCAAACACAGTAACAAGAAGTCTCAAAATGGAGATGTTACTGGGCCCGCTCAAGCAAAATCGATGAACAATGGGAGGACAGTGTTTTCATTGTATCAATATCTCTTTATTCTTTTTTTTCTTAATTGTATTTATTTATTTTTTACAAAGCTGTTCCTGATCCGAATTCCGTCATACAGTTTCCAATACCCATCCTCCACCAGTGTACATTTCCCAACACCAGTATCCCCAGGTTCCCTCCCATTACCCCCTACCCCCTGCCTGCCTCTATGACAGGCACTTTTCCTCTCTCTCTCTCTCTCTCTCTCTCTCTCTCTCTCTTGCTCTCGCTCTCGCTCTCTCCCTCCCTCCCTCTTCCTCCCCCTCCCGTTACCCCTCCTCCTCTCCCCCTCCCTTTCTCTCTCCCTCTCCCTCTTTCTATCCCTCACCCTCTCCTTCCTTTTGGGCAACTATTGTTTGCAGTATTGATATTGAAAGGTTATCCAGACAGTATTTCCTTTTATTTTATTTTTTTATTGATTGATTTTTTTTTTCTTTATGGGTCACACCCAGAGAGGCACAGGGGTTACTCCTGGTTTTGCACTCAGGAATTACTCCTGGCTGTGCTCGGGGGACCATATGGGATGCTGGGAATCAAACCTCGGTCGGTCGTGTGCAAGGCAAATGCCCTACCCACTGTACTATCCCTCCAGCACCAGTATTTCCTTTTAAAGATCACTTATCACCATGAACTTTTGCTTTTGAAACTCTTGGTATTTAACAACCAAGAAGTTAGTTTTTTTGCTTTCTCTCTTTTTCAAGACTCCAAACTGCCACTGGGTTTCTTTAACCTATCAGTAGTACCTCAAAGATAAACCAAAGGACCTAAAACAGTCTGGCTACATATAATTATCTTTAGCTTATCAATTTTCCTATTTTTCTCTCGTTACATACATCTATTTTTAGATTTGACTTAGTATTTCTCCTTTTTTATATATTTGTTTTCTTGGTATGGAGGCCATACCTACTGGCGCTCAGAGACACCCCCAGCTCATAGGTCACATAACCATTCAGCACTGGGGATTGAGCCTGGACCTGCCTGCAAAACATGCACTCCGGCCATTTCAGCTCTTGGTAGGTTTTTAATAAGAGCCGCTGTGCTTTCATTCAGGGCACTCTTTTCCAGCCATAGATCATTGTCAGTTTTTGTAGATAATTTTGGCTTTGGTTTCTTCAAGAAAAGAAAGAATGACTAGGTTGGTTAACAGTCAAGTTCAGGGGATCAGAGTGATAGTACAGCAGGTAGAGCATTTGCCTTGCATGCAGCCAAACCAGGTTTGATCCCTTCATCCCATATGGTCCCCCTAGCACTGCCAGGAGTAATTCCCGAGTGTAGAGCCAGGAGTAACCCCTGAGCATCGCACTGGGTGTGACCCAAAACCAAAAAAAATAAAAGAAAGAAAGAAAAATTAGTGTAGGAATTTACTGAAACCCATTCCAGCCTAAAGTTCTGTGATGTGGAAGCAAGTGGTAAGGGTGGCACATGCTCTTGACTGTCGACAAGAGAGGGTTTGTAAGACTTGATTTTTTTTTTTCTTTTTGGGTCAAACCCAGCAATGCTTAGGGGTTACTCCTGGCTCTGCAATCAGATATTATTCCCGGTGGTGTTTGGGAGAACATATGGGATGCTAGGGATTGAAACTGGGTCAGCCACTTTTAAGGCAGACACCCTACCCGCTGTACTATCACTGTGGCCCATATGACATGATTTTGAGATTTTTCTGAGTCCTTTAGGAAGCATTTTAGAAAGACTTTACAAAAGCATTAATTTTGAGTAGTATGCCTTAGCTGCCTGTAGCCATTGGGAGAAAAATTTCATCTATGTATTTCAATTAGAAGTCACATCTAAGGTTGTTGACTTTAAATAACTCTCTTTACCCTGAAAGGAAGGGGCACTAAGCCACCTTGATGAAAAGTTTAGAAAACATCTGCCTCATCTGTGTAAATCCCATTTGATTTTTCAATGGTGACCAAAATTAGGGCCTGTTTTTAGAGAATGTTCTAGGCCCATCTACAAATTGCCTTTCTCTAATTTGTACGATTTACCAGGAGGAATATATTACAAAGTTTAATAAAATTGTATCGAAAAAAAGCTCATGGTAATTGCTGTGTTGATTTAAGGTCCTGCAAGTGCAATGAAACATAGTTACTATGCATATAAATGTTACTTAATAGCTGTTTAACTAGAAATTTTATTCTCATTCAGGGCTTTGTTTAAATCCCCTGGCTTATAATTTTAGATATTGTAGATTTTTGACATAAAGTTTGAAAATAATTGGGAAAGGGGAAGGGCGTTGCATGGATATGCGTGTTGTGGACAAGAAGTTCAAGGCCATGCAAGTGCATGGCAAGCATAAAATTGCTCCTGACTTGTTCTAAGCAAGAATAGGGTTGAGGAGAAATTAACTTTTTTAAAGAATACATATACTGCATAATCCAGAAACCTGCCTCTTTCCCCATTCCTCCTTTCCAATGTTGGACAGACCAGAAACATCCCCTGTTTCCAACGTGTTTAAGTTTTGTGCTTGTTGATGTGTCTGTCAGATTGAGGAATCTGTGCGGAGCATGGTGATGCGCTATGGAAGTCGACTGTGGAAATTACGCGTCCTCCAGGCAGAACTGAAAATCAACATTCGCTTGACACCGACTGGAAAAGCAATTCCCATTCGCCTCTTCCTGACAAACGAGTCTGGCTATTACTTGGACATCAGCCTGTACAAAGAAGTGACTGACTCCAGAACAGCACAGGTGTGGTAGTCAAGCAAGTCTCTTCAGAGTTCGGGTTTTGTGCTATACATCAGCTGCTTACCCTTGTCATGGGTAACTCAGACTCACAAATCCCACTGGTTCACCTAGTAAAGTTGTCAACTCTTTCACATTACTCTCTCATATTAGATGCTCGCATGATTTTGAACACCTTATTTGCCTCATAAAATAGTGTGCCTGTTTCTAATTACTTACAAAACCTTCAACCTTCTTTCACATATTGGGTGACCCTGGTGCCACGTGTATCTGACTCCAGATGTAATTTTTTTCACATAGGGCCTTTGAGTTCCTTGAGGAATCTAGACCTCCTTTGTCCTATTTGTTCTTCTTCCCTTGTCTTTGAAGTTAGATCACTTTATTCATTGGCAAGTAGGAAAAGAAAAATTGTTGAAACTTATCACCAACTTCTTTTTTTTCTTTCTTTCTTTATGGGGAGGAAAGGGAGTAGAGGAGGAGGTAAAATAAAAGTTTAGGTTCTGTTTAAAAGAGCTTTTCCAGAGAGTGGTGATAAATTTTCATTAAGCATCATCATGGAAGAACACTGTCTTCCTAGTTATCAAGATACTTTGAATTTAACGTAATACACATAATGTGTTTTTCTAAAATCCATTGCATTCATTTGGGTATCCTTTGTGTTCTTGTTGATACCAATATGAAAGGTACTGGCACTCTGGTTTCAAGAACAAATCTTAAAGGCCACTTAATATAACATGTGTTTCAGTGGGTCCAAGGTAATTACTGTGAAACAATTGGACAATAATAGTCTCAAATATTTAAATACCCCGTAAAACTACAACTAATCCAGCTACTACTGATTCGTAGGACTACTTAACCAACAAAGGGTAAGGCCAAATTATAAATCTAAATGCCAAATCCAAAGCAAAATGCCAATAATATCCTGACTTTTGCATTAGCTATAGAGAAGACAAAAACTATATGAATAATGTTAAATAAAAAGTGCATACAGAACTGACAACATTTCTTTTTGTTAAATTTGCCACTCTTTCCAGTCTAATAAAATGCTTTTGAGGGAAAATGATGACTAATCAAGTGCCCTGGAAAAACATAATTGTCATAAAGTTTTTTCTTTTGTAACTTGAGCATCTAAATTATTTTGACAATTCAAAGCAGAAAATCATACAGAAAGCCAGGAATGTAATCAGTACTACTAAACAGATATTTGCTTGTAGTTTTTGGTATCCAAAAGTTTTTTCCCACACATCGCACAGATGCCCTTCTTGTAGGCACAGCCCTGGCAGTAGTAAGAACCAAGCTGGTGAACAGAACTTTTGCAAATTCTGCAAGTGGAGAACTTGTTCTTTCCATATGGATCAAACCTTGCTTTTTTTGAAGTCAAAGCTTTCTTTTCGTTCAGCTTTCTTCCACCACTTTCTGTGGTATTCCTAGCACCATCCTTCCAAGTGTCTGGAGTGATGACTCTACCAGATTTCTTTTCACACTTCTCGTACACCATCCTGGCCCGGCTCAGCCCACAGGACCGCAGAGCCCCGACGCCCGGGCAGCACTTGCCTTCTGGCCACCACAACACTTCCCCAACTTCTATCTTAAAGAAGGAAAATTTCAATCTATCAAGCATTGATCCTGCCTCTGTTATCCATTACCTTAATTCCATTTGTCTTTTATAGTCTTTTCTTTAAAGAACTAAGAGTATTTTATACCTAGAAAATAGCAAAGTGATAAATATTAACCCTTTTCAAGTAGAAAAATTAAGATTTTGGGAATGGAAAGTGGCTCGTTGAATTAATTCTATGATAACAATGAATTTCTTTTTAAATCTGTTTATACCACCATTGTTTCTGAGTATTGACTTTTTGCTATGATACTGTGTTTAATTTGGTTTAACACTGCTCAGAGCTTTTTAAACATGGGGAGGTCATATTAGGTCTTTGGCCCACAGTTGGAAATCTTCTGGTTAAAGGATGAACTTGCTCCAGTGAATGTACAGAAAGGTCTGTTCTGTGCCTTAGGAGCAAAAAAGAAATTAGATGTCTCTTGTTTTTAAGTCAGTCCTTTTAAAATCTGGCAACAGAGGTAAGAAAAGATATTTTGCCAGTATGCTGAAGATGAATTTTAAAAATCTGCGTATGATTGGTTGTCAGAGCAACCTTTCATTCTGTGCTCTGATTCCATGATAGATGGTCAGAGAAATTTCCCATTGCAAAATGAATAGTTAAGACAGAGACAGTTCACACAAGAGCAGGAAAGGTGGGGGGAAAAAAAGAGAGAGAGTAGTCGGTAATTTTTGCTGCATTTGATGTTTTTTAGGACAGCCTCACAAGACATTTTCAGTCAAAGCTTTCCATGGTCAGGGATGTTTTAAATTAACTTTTACAATGGCTTCAAGGCAGCTCTATTGTTGTGAAAGCTAAGATGGCCACTTGAGGTTTGAATGCTTTTTATAAATATGTTTGTTCTGCAAAGCCCCCACCCTACTCTTTTATTAGAAAGCTTAGATTTCCCTCATGCTGGCTAGTGGTGACATAGGGCCACGAAAGTCATAAATGCCTTCAATAGGGTTAGTACCAGGCCTAGTACTCACAGAAAAGGTTCAGTATATGTCTGTCTATATCTGAAAGAATAAATGAGCTACTTTTAGCCTGCTGGAGTTCTCCTTTCACTTGGGTCCTACAAGTTTGGGAAGGTCAGAGGAAAAAGTTCCCCCTTAGGCTCTTCAGCTGAGATAGTTCAAGAGCTGTTGCCAATTGTGATCTAACTTGAAAACCTGTGGCCTCAGGGAGCTACTGAACAAAAGGAACAGCCCCCTAACCCAGGCAGACCTACCTAATGCCTACTGGACTCTTTCTGCAAACCTTTTTCCTCTTTCTCTGCCCTAGTGATTTATTTATATAAATTTAAGTTAATATGTAACCATGTTTATTTAATATATGTACTAAATATTTAAATTATATATATATTTACTACATATAATTGACCATCTATATGTATCAAACACTGAGGATACAAAGGTAACAAGTGGCTTCTATTCTCAAGAAATTTATATTATGTGAGAAGAAAGAGAATAGTTTATGGTACAACTTCAGTGTATGTCATGTAAAGTAAGTACAGGGTTTCAATGAGCAGACTATAAAGAATGAGGGGTTTATTCTAAGAGAAGCCCTCTTGATGGCCTCTGGTGAAAAAAGAATGTTGATATATAAAATTTGTACGTATTTTCATGAACTTGTAAAACATATGCTTTACCAGTTTTTAATTACTGTTCATTATAGTAGAAAATGGAATTAACATTCATAGACTTCCAGTACTATCCATTACTATAAGTCCCTTACCCCAGCACTTTATTAATTTTTTTTTCTGCTCACGAGAAGCAAGGTTGACTGCCTTGAGGTTTTTTTTTTTTTTTTTTGTATAGTCTGTGTGGGATTAGCTATAATGAACTCTGTTGCCAAACAGCTAGAGTGGGGAAAAGGAATTTGGGTAGTCCACTGCATAACTGAATTAATCTCCAGTGTGTAGCATAAATATGTTTTAAAGTGGGCCAGCGCAATAATAGAAAGGGTAGGATGTTTGCCTTGCACACAGCCAACGTGGGTTCAATCCTATGATCCCCAGAGCCCACCAGAAGTGATCCTTGAGCACAGAACCAAGAGTAAGCCCTGAGACCTCTTTGTGTGTGGCCCCCAAACAAAAGATTTTTGAAGTCACCTTTATAAAGTCACCTTTATATACAATTTGCATATAATATAGTCTTTAAATGATCAGTTCATTTAATTCTGAGGGACATGTATACCTGTGTGGCCACCATCAAAATCATGGTAGAAAGTATCCTAACGGTCTCAAATTTTTTGTGTGAGTAGGTAAATACACCAACCCCAGCTCTAGGCAAACACTGATCTGCTTTCTATCACTATAGATTAGTTTTACCTGTCAGCAAGTTTTTTTTTTAATTTTTATTAGTGAAAAACCATGAGGTACAGTTGTAGACTTACAAATTTTTGTGCTTGGGTTTCGATTATACAATGATCAAATACCCATCCCTCCACCAGTGCCCATTTTCCATCACCATGGATCCCAGTATCCCTCCCACCCCCATCCCCCCTATCCCACCCTACCTCTGTGTAGTGTTTCTGAGATTCTTCTGAGTTGCATAGCTCAGGAGTATGTTCTTTTTTGTTGTTGTTGCTGGGTAGTGTTTTGTTTTAGAGCTATATCAGAATTCTTATATTCATTAGCCTGTTGGTGGACAAAGTTACTATGAACATTTATTAATAGATATATAACAATATATAATAATAGAATGTATGTTCTGTTTTATAATATATCACTATCACTCACCCCGTTGTTCATTGATTTGCTCAAGCGGGCCCAGTAACATCTCCATTCATCCCTGTCACGTGCTAGTGTAGCCCGATGACATATCAGGGGCTCTTTCAGGGTCAGGGGAATAAGGATCATCATTGTTACTGTTTTTGGCGTATCGAGTATATATATAATATATATTAAGAATAATATAGTAGTGTATATAATAGAAATAGATATATTTTCATTGCTATTGGTAAATCTATAAAAGTACTTAAGTTATAGTAGACATGATTTTCTTCTCTTTTTTTTTTTTCAGTTTCAGTAGGCATATTTTTAACCTTAAAAGAAACTGCCAAGGTGATTATAACCTTTTAATTCCCACTAGCAATGACACTACCTAGAGGGCTTTCTCCAGCCCTAGAAAACTTTATTAGTGTATATAGTTATATTGCTTATTTGTAACCAGCCTAACTTCATAGCACAGCTTACAAAGCTGAGTGTCAAACTCTACTTATGGGTACTTGTGAAAACCCACTAAGCGACAAGAACGTAGTTCCAGCAACTCCTTTTCTTAATTTGATTTCATTCGTCTCGTGAGCCCCAGTTGTTCATGTGAACATTCTTGCCTCACTTGACAATTTGAATCCCTTAAAATATTGCTTTCTGCTCATCATCCAAGGCTTTACTAAGTCTTTATTAACTCTACATTTCACATGGTTACCATTTGTCCTAATGGAGGAGCTCTTGGAATTCCATTCTGTGGGATTTAAAGATGCCCAAGACAAATTTGGTCCATAATTAGACCTTGCTGACCAGTCAGCACACATTTGTTCTGAGCTGAGGATTCACTTATGTGAACTATACCCAGAGTTATGAATGGACTCAATTATAGTCTTGTGCTTATATATCAGGGCTACAAATCTATTCATTAATAGTAGACTTAAGCTTATATATTTTAGGCCTAAATAGATATATGCATATATACACATACCCTTACATCCCAATTTCCATTTGTATTCTCTGTGTTGGAAATCTGTGTTTTATGTATTCATACATAAAATGCCTAGTTTAGTGTCATACAACCTCTGGGCACTCAATAAATATTAATTGAATAGAAATAATGGCGTCCCTTATAAATATTCATAAGCAAATAAAACTATCTAAATATATGGAGTATGAAGTATGTATATGTACAAATAGAAGTATTTGAGTTAAAATGATTAAAAACTGGTGTGATTTTATTATGTGACAATATTAGGAAGTGCAGGTCCTATTTCTAGTTGTAGACATTGTATATTTGGGAATATATATACATGCATAGATTTAAAATATTTTTTACTATAGGTTGTATTTTCAGACTAACAAGAACTAGAAAATTAGATGGATATTTTAACTGGTATAAAAGCCACTCTGGCAGAATCTTTAAAGCCTTTGGTGGCTAATAATATATATGAACACTGGCTAAGGCATAGATGATATGGTGAAGGACAGAATTCTTTTTAATGCATAGTTGTTCCTAACTTGAATGCTAGGGATGCTTATTGTAGTTGACATATTTCAAAGTCATTTTCTAAGGTAAGCATTGTCATTCTGTCTCCAAGATGAGAAATTACACTTTTTTTGTGTCACTCTTTCAAAAATGAGAGTAGCTGTTGTTGGTTACTTACCATTTTTTGGAGTTAGTTAATAGAGAGATGAGAGGACCAAGTAACTCATGTTAAGGGGCATATCTAAGGTACTCAACCCACCCAGAATGTGTTTAAGAAATAATGTTTGTCACCTTTTCCGCTCTGGAGAAGCCCATGTTTTCTCTTAAACTTGAATCTCTTTCTCTTCCCTTGCATTTCTCTTAAGTAAATTACTTCCATTAAAAACTATTTTGGGGCTGGAGCAATAGCACAGCGGGTAAGGCACTTGCCTTGCATGCAGCTGACCTGGGTTCGATTCCCAGCATCCCATATGGTCCCCTGAGCACCGCCAGGGGTAATTCCTGAGTGCAGACCAGGAGTAAGCCCTGTGCATCGCCAGGTGTGACCCAAAAAGCAAAAAAATAAATAAATAAAAACTATTTTATGTCACTGGGGGGAAAAAAAGAACAGAAAAAATGTTTGTGGAAAAAGACTAATCTAAGTAGCTGCGATTTTTCTCTCTCACTTCTTGTCATTATCTTTCTTGCAGATCATGTTTCAAGCATATGGAGACAAACAGGGACCATTGCATGGAATGTTAATCAATACTCCATATGTGACCAAAGATCTGCTTCAATCTAAGAGGTTTCAAGCGCAGTCCCTAGGAACAACATACATATATGATATCCCAGAGATGTTTCGGCAGGTAAACATGGCTAACGTGGGAGGTTCTGACATGTTTCAGTAAAGCACTATTTTTTTTTCCCTGAATTTGTTTCAGAAAAAAATTCAGTATTTTACTGAATTTGTCCTTTAAAATTCCAGCAAATGTAGCTTTAAAAGGGATACTCCCAAAGTACAAGAAATATCTATTCTCATTTCTGTGACTACCAACTCAGTTGTAGGGTGGTTCTTTATGAGTTTTCAGGAGGAATGGTGAAAATAGAAGCTTTCATCAAATACAGGAGAGAAAACTTAGGCCACATGAGCCTGTGGTATTAATTTACAATGACCTGTGTGATGAATTATGTTCAGGTATGTATTTTCTAAACCTACATACAAATTTTGGATATTAAAAAACTATGAAAGTCTGGTTCTCATTTTCCTATTCTTGAAATAACCCAGGTTCCTAGCTGATATCATAGCTTAATATGATGAGAATCAATATAGATAACCTATACAAATGGATATAGAGTTCATGGTACACAGTTTAAAGTATCTGTTCTTTTGTGGGAGATTTATTATAGCTGAATAAAAACTAGCGTGAGAAAATATGACATTATGAATCTCATCCTCTATATGAAAATAAATTCCTTTGATCTGTACGGTGAATCATCTCTATACTGCAGATTTTTCTTCCATCAATAGAAGGCAAGAAAAGTATATCACCAGCAGAAAATGCAATAGATAAGAATAAGGTATCAAAAGAATACTGAATTTGTCCTTAAAAAATTCTATGAATATAGGATTTTCCCAGGTCTTCTAGTTAATGCTACCAGTATTACCACATTTGAATTTTAATAAAGTAGTGTATGTGACCTTGGTGGTCTATATATAATTTCTATATTGTTTATAAATACAAGAGATTTCCTTAATGTAGCCATTTGTTTACAAGTTCAAGCTCCTGAAACATAGATCTCTTCTTTCAGTATTACTAGTATTGTTAGCCTAAAAGTGAAGTGTTGGTTCTGTTTCCTAATGTCAGTGCAATAAATAAAAATCATATATAATTCTTTGTATAGAATAGCCATTAATGCAGTGAATGGGGCATATAACTATGAATAAATCATGTTGGCTTTAAATGGTGCTTTGAGACAAGCAAGGAAAGAACAGAACTAGTTCCCACTTCATGAGGATTTTTTTTTTGTTTATATGATGTTGAAAATGAAAATGATAATGGTTTTCCCATGGATACTGTATATATATATATTTTAATTTGAACAAAATTGATCTCCACATTTATAGCTAGTCTGATATCTCTACAAGCTAATTCCTGTATCTAGGTCTGTAGCTCTAAAAGATATCAGAGGATGCTTCTGCAGAACAATTTTGTTCTTGCCTTTCTGGATTTTCTTAACTGAAAATGAACCGAGTATTATGTTACTCTCCTGATTATTCATCGATTGCCAAGTTTCTTTAGGATTTTTTTTTTCTTAAGAAGGATCAATGCTACTTTAGTTTTCTTTTTTTGTTTTTTTACTCTCATCTATTGTTAGGCCTGTTGTCTTTGTTAGTGCTCTAGTTCAAAATCATTCAATCATTTCATTTTTTTGGAAAAGTGCCTGATTTTAACACATGAAAAATAATTCCAAATCTGTTTTAGTTGAAAATAAATAGAATTTTGTGTAACTCTTAGATTCTTAGCAGAAAACTTGGAACAAAAAGAAAAAACACAGATGAACCAAATCTCAATATTTATTTTTGTCCAATTTAAAATGCACTTGTCTCTGATAAGTCATTTTTCTCCTTCCTAGTCCCTGATCAAACTGTGGGAGTCTATGTCCGCGCAGGCATTCCTTCCATCACCCCCTTTGCCTTCTGACATGCTGACATACACTGAACTTGTTCTGGATGATCAAGGCCAGTTGGTCCACATGAACAGGCTTCCGGGAGGAAATGAGGCAAGTAGTTGAATAATCCAACCCCCTTTCTTATCTCTATGCCTGTTATAATGAGATTTCACGGAAGCGGTCATTGAATGCTATCAGTTAAGATCCAAGAGACTTGTGTAGCATGTTGGTAGAATCATAGAGGAATTACATTGACTGGATATCAAAGAATTATTATCAGTCTTTCATTTGTGATTGAGTTTTTTTTTTAATTGAGTGTTTCTGTTAAGTATATATACTAGATGTAGGTGAGGGTCACAGAGATAATAATGGTGGCTAGGTCTTGCACTTAGCTGACCTGGTTCAGTCCCTGGCACCACTTTGAGTCCCCTGAGCACAGCTGGGGATGGCCCCAAAACAAAAATAAAATGGTTCTAGATGAAGTGGTTTGTCTAAAGATTGCTTCAAAATAATGGATATAAGTGAGCATGAGAGTATAAATGAAAAAAGATTGGTCATGATTTCCTTGTTGAAGCAAGATGATAGATACATCGTAGATAATTTTCTGGCTTTTGTTTGAAAATTTGAGATTACACATAATAAAGACCTTTAAATTGTTTTGCTTGGTGTTTATCCTTGTGCGAATGCTTCTGTACATTTTTGGTAAGTTTCCCCTGCTCAGGTAATTTGATTTGGTACTGACTGTGAGCACGGTATATATGTTCTTCTTAAAGGGGCTCAGAACTGAAGCATTATAACATAAGAAAGTAGTAGAGAAGCCATTTCTGTTAGTCATCCAAGAACAGATTTTCTAGCCTTAATTCTTTCTCGTATTAATAATGACATGAAGTCATATTCTGACCCATACCCTATTGCCAGCATTGACTCTTCCTGATTTTAATTCTATTTTTAATTAAAAAGAGATATGCTTTTATTTCAGCTTCAATTATGAGTTCTAGATAAATCTAATTTCTTAGTAGTAATCTTTACCTGAGTCTTCACAATGAGTAGTCTGAATAGACATAGAAGATTATAAACATGTCTTTCTACTTTATGTAGTCTCCTTTTCAAAAAATTCTTCTGTATATACAAGGTATATGGCTGAATTTGATAAGTACAATAGTGGATGATTTGGTATTAATATGGATGCAAGCTTTGGGCCAAGTAAGGAGTATCAGACCTAAAATGACTTCTTCTCAACTAAGGTCTTGACAGGTAGCAATGGGAAGCATCTAGGGAGCAAGAACACATAAAATTTTGATGAGAGTAGACATACACTTATTCACACAGAAAGTTGCTGCAGAGGTTTGTGCCACTGTGTGTAGCATCTACTTATTGAACCCTCCACAGCAAAGAAAAGCTACATTGTGCTACTTAAATTCTGATTCATTGAACAGCTCAGTCTTCGGGAATGGAAGGCACTCTTGTGAGCATGGTGCTGAGAAAAGAACGCTTTTAACTAATGTAATTAAAACACAAAATGAGATTTTGGGCCATGTAAGAGCGAGCGGCAGTGCTGTGTGAAACCTCTTGCCATGATCTTTCTCTCCTGCTTTCTCTCTGCTCTCATTCTGTGTTTGAGCGAATAGAGACTGGGGGAATAGTGAAGTCCCAGAGGGACAGAGCTCTGTTCTTGCTGAAATTACAAGCACAGAGCTGCCTGGGCATGAACATGTAGTGTTTACTCTGCCAGTATGAATACAAATAGTCTTATTATACGGAACTCTGTACCCAAAGACCACACGCACTCACGTGCACGTGCCCGGAGACACACACACACACACACACACACACACACACACACACACACACACTCACTTTCTCTCTCTCTCTCTCTCTCTCTCTCTCTCTCGCTCACGCACACACACACTCGCGCACACACACACACACACAAATAAAAAAAATAAAGATTTTATTTAACCCTTTTATGACCCAACAATCTTAGGTGGAAAAGGGTTGTCTTAGACAGCTGCATAGGACTAGACAACAAACAGTAGAGTCTGTGTAGGAATCACATTTCACATTTTTCCTTGCCTGGTGCTTTAGATTTATGTTGAAATCTAGAAATCTGATCTTGTTGTTTTTTTTCCTTTTTGTCAGTTTTCACTTTTAAAATATTCTACTTTCCCTGGTTCTGTAGTTACCTGTTTTCTTTGTTCTTTTTTCCTTTCCTTCAAATGATTGACTCGGATTGAGGCTGAGTGTTCGCTTGCTATTTCTGAGTCTTTGAGCTCAGGAAGAGTGAGACTGATGTTCTTTTGTGAACAGTTAGTGACTAATGGGATGGCTGGTGAAGTCAGTCAGTGGCCGCAGTTAGATTATAGGGCACTGCACGGCAGGAATGAGGTTGGGGTATTAGTATCAAACTCTGTTACCAATAGCTTGAACATACAATGGAGCATGTCCACTGAGAAACTGACCAATCTAAAGATGAAGTTTCAGCAGTCAAAACTGTGAGGGACATCTGTGCCTAAGAGCTGACGAGGTGTCAGTAGGATGTATTTCCTCCTGCTGAGCCCAGTTTTATCAGGGCAAGTTGACTTTCAGCTATTGCAGTTTAATTTTCTTTAGCCAAAGAGACAAGTTTGTCATGAGCCTGGCACTCTACATATTACTCCAAGAATGATGTGAGGGAAAGGAAAAGAGCTCATGCTGATGAGATTTGGAGCAAATCTGTCCAGTCCCAAAGAGAATGGGCATCTGAACAGAGCCTTGAAAAATAGTTTTATTAAAAAAAGGAGTAAAAAATTGACCTGTTAATGTTCTGAGAGCCAAGGCTCAATGTAAATGTATTGATGCTACATAGACATTAAATCATCATAATGTGATGTTCTCCAAAGGTGATGACTCTACCAGGTCATCATTGTGGGTGATATTGCATTGCCTTGAAGGATCGGGGTTTTACAGTTTAAAAGCTAACACATGGGTATAAGGAATAAAGGTAAAACAAGAGATTCCTGCAGTTTCCCCATGAATTGAGATGCTTTTCCCCATAATCAAAAGCAGAAAACCTGCACTTATCAGACCATCGACTGTATGGGTGGCCAGACTCCCTTCCCTGTTTTTTTCCGGGACAGTAAATAGGTAAAATGGTGATGGGACCAGGACTTGGAACAATTCAGTTCCATTTAGTTTTAGGTAAGTTGTATGCCATTTAAGGAAGAATATTGGCTATTTCAGCAGAGATGTGACCGGCATTTTGAACATTGTGCTCAAGTTAAAAACAGGAGAAAGGGTGCTTTTCTAATGTGGTATGAGCTCCTTTCTTCTTTTCTCTTACTCTCAAGACAGAAGTAACTGAAGGAATATCAGCTTATGAATGGTATATGTGATCATATTTTTTCCTTATCAGGTGTGAGTGGTGTTGTTTAATATAAATTTAGAATAAGAAAAAATATGTAGACTAAATCTATGAAGTGTGTTCATTGCAGACAGCTTCAAAGATGAAAGTTGTTCAGAATTTTTTTTAATAGTTTCAAGTAAAAGTGGAAATTGAGGAAAATATGATCGCAGAATAGCCTAAAATGATTTCACTGCTAGCTGCTAAGACACTACCACAATGGGCACTGTATGTAAATACACAGCTAGAGAAATGTATGCCGTTGAGCCTGGATACAGAGCAGAGGCAGTGAACCAGCAGTTCTGCTTTTACCACTTCTCGACTTTGAAGGAATTGTTTTCATTTTCCTGCCAATCTGCTAACCTGTTTTGATCATTTGGTAGAAGCTATAATTGCAGGTGGGAACATTTTGAGTAACAGTTCACAATCCGACTCGGCTGCTTTTCACACTAAATCCATTATTCAAAGGCTCAGGCGAGGATCACGCCAACAGCTGTAACTGACTTGACAAAGAACAACTTAACTTTTTCTGGTTGGACAAGGGAAGTCCTAGCCTTCCTGAAACTTATTCTTATTTATTCTGAAAATAAGTGATTAGCATTTTTTCATTATATCATTTTACAGCTCTGTGAACTACATTATGATTCTCAAAATTAGACAATGATAGAAGATATAGAAAGGCAACATTCAAACTTTAGAGTCAATAGAAATTAGGATTCTGTTTTCCTTACCCTTTCAAAATGTGGGCTTTTTAATAACAGGATCCCTGCTTTTCCTTTACATCATTCCTGTCATAAATGCTGAAATGAGAAGACGCAGTGTTTAGAGGCAGTGATAATAACTTGGATGCATACTCCAAAGTGGTTGGTAATTAGTAACTGAATTTTTGTAGGGTATTTTTTTTTCCCTTAAGGGCCCAACAGTCCAAGTGTTAAGCTACTTGCCTTGAATGCTGTTGACCCTGGTTTGATCATTGACACCAATTGGTCCCCTGAGCACCCTCTGGGAATGAACCTTGAGCACAAAGCTGGGAGTAGTTCACCATGTACCACATGGTCCAGGCCAGCCCCAAATAAAAATTGCTTGAAAAGGAATGTATATTTTCTTCAAGTTTTTGAGAGAAAAGTTTACTCCAGTCTGAATCCAGTTTGATAATGACTTCCAGCCTTATTACCAGAGTGAAGTATTATAATGGCTTGGCTCTAAGGCTTCATTTTTTCAGATGGGCACTAGGTGTCAGGGTTTTTCCTTGTCAACAGCTAGACGTTTAAAACAAGCCTCTTGAATTACACTTTTTGGTGAAGCCAACACAGGGGGTACCCTTTGCTTTTTTTTTTCCAGTTTGTGTAGTAGACTTTGTTCAGTATTCCCACAATATGCAACTGTAGCACTGTAGCACTGTCCTCCTGTTGTTCATAGATTTGCTCAAGTGGGCACCAGTAACATCTCACAACAAATTGATACTTTCAGTAGCTTGTAAGGCAAATGCCTTACCTGCTGTACTATCTCTTTGGCCCTCAGGATATATAGTTTAAATAAGATGATGATTCAGGAGGAAAAACATCACTTAAAGTTTATAGACTGATATGCCCAGCCAGAGTGACAGTATAGCAGTCAGGTGCTTGCCTTGCACATGGCCTACCCAGGTTTGATCCTAAAATCCCATGTTCCCCAACCCTGCCAGGAATGATCCTAAACATGGCCCAAACTGCCCCACCCCACACACAAGCCT